ATCACCCTCCCTAGGCTCGTGCTCTCGGGGGAGATCTGGGGAGATCTGGGGAGATCACCCTCCCTAGGCTCGTGCTCTCGGGCGCCGTCGCCGCCGTCACCAAGCGGATCCTCGAGTGGACAAAGGTCGCCGCGTGCGCCGAGCGGCCCGTCGGGGTCGCCTTTTGGAAGTTTGGCGACGCCGCCTCCGCGTGGCTCTCGATGACGGTGCTGCCGCCGCCGCCGCCCGCGCCGCACGAGCCCAAGGTGGGCCCTGCTCTTCGACGGCGTCCGAAACACAACGTCGGAGATGTCTTGAAGTGGTTGGAGTAGGTGATCCTGCTCTTCGACGGCGTCTGCCTGCTCTGCTCCACTTTCGTCCACTTCCTCCTCGACCACAACGCCGACCAGCGGATCCATTTCTGCGCGCTGCAGTCCGAGCCGGGCAAGGACATCCTCACGCGGCGCGGGCTGCCGCTTCGACGCGCCGACTCGACTCGTCGCCAGGTCGACTCATGTTGGGTGGGCCGCTCCTTTGATTAGGCACGGGCTGCCGCTCGATGTGTCGACGGTGGTGCTCATCGACGAGTGCGGCGCCCACGTGCGCTCTTCGGCCGCGCTGCGCACGCTGCGCCACTGCGGCGCGCCCTACTGCTTCCTCTACGCCCTCGCGGCGCTGCCCCGCCCGCTGCGCGACTTTGGCTACCGCATGGTAGCCGCGAGCCGCTACAGGCTCTTTGGCAAGGACGACGGCTCCGCGTGCCGCCGCATGACCAAGGCGATGCGCGCGCGGTTCCTGTCGACGTGAAGCCGCGCGGGCTTCTCGCAGGCTCTTCTCTCTGGTCGAGCTCTCTGGTCGAGCTCTACCTCACCTCGGGCTTGGTTGGAGAGACGGCCTACGGATCTGAAGCAGATCTGAAGCCCCGCCCCTAGGCTGTCGCGCCTTCGGCGCCCAGCGTGCCCGGTCATTTTGGTCGAGATCGCCGACATTCCTCTGGCGCCCGTGTGTGTTGAGGCGGGTGTATTTATGTGGAGGGCCGGAAGCGCAGCGACATGTACGAGTACGCTGTAGTGTACGGCCGACTGCCGACACAAATAGACCGCATGGGGCTTGGGGCTTGGGGCCCCGCTCCATAGACCATACCGTATTTTCGGATTCTCTTTAGAGAGACGTGTAATGCCGAACACGGTAGATCACCTATCTTACTGTACCTCACTGGTCACTGTGTACTGAGACGCACGACGTCAGGTTCGTCACCGTGTATCGAGATCTCAGGCGTCGTACGTCCCTTGACGCTTAAGTCCGATTAGCCTCCCTCCCGCACGCTACTCTTCCAGCTCCCAGTCGGGGGCGAGGCTCTGCGCGAGCGTGCACGCTCTGCGCGTGAGGCGGAGCGGGAACCCGTCGGGCGCGCGCACGATTGCGACCTCCGCCACCAAGTCGCCCATCATCTGCTGGTGCGGGGGCGACACCACGCGGAGAGGGCGGCCGAAGCGGCTGGCGGAGCGGTGCTGCAGCGAAGCGAGCGTGTCCGGCAGCGACACGCCGAGCGCGGTCACGTCGAGGCAGAGGTGCGCCGGGCCCGGCGCCGCGTCCGACGGCGGGCGCGCCGGCCGCTGCAGCACCGCCGGCGGCACCTGTCGGGGCGGGCGGGCGTCAGGCAAGGCCGGGGAAGGGAGGGGGAGTGCGTCGGTGCAGAGGGGCCGCCAGAGCGCGTCTGGAGTGGTGGCGGCGCTCTATCCGCCTCTCTCGCATGCGGGCGTGGCGTGGGCTCGGCAGAGGGTGCGTCTCGCAAGGAAGAGGGTGCGTCTCGCAAGTTTAGAGGGTGCGTCTCGCAAGGAAGAGGGTGCGTCTCGCAAGTTTAGAGGGTGCGTCGCAAGGAAGAGGGTGCGTCTCGCAAGGAAGAGGGTGCGTCTCGCAAGGAAGAGGGTGCGTCTCGCAAGGAAGAGGGTGCGTCTCGCAAGGCGCCTCGACCAGCTCGATGGAGAGGGGCGTCCAAGGCGCGCAGAGCCAGGCGGCACGGGCGCCGTTCGTCGTGAAGCGGCGCCGCGGCTCGTAGTGGAGCAGCGACCAGAACGCGAGCGACTGCCGTATGCACGAGACTCGCAGCGTCGCGTGGCTGAAGCCGGACGGCTCTGCAGGGTCGCGCCGCGCCACCAGCGCCATCAGCGGCGAGGCCGACGCGTTGGCGCCGCTCCCCTGCGCCACGTCTTCGCCGCTCCCTTCCGCCACGTCGCCGCCGGCGAGCTCGAAGCCGAGCCCGCGCAGAACGCCCTCGTCGCTCGGAGTCACCGGCCGGGCGAGCAACGCGCTCCCGCACCGCAAGTCGGGGTGCTCGCGCGCCGCGTGCCACAGCAGCTGCCTGGCCGCATCGCCGCCCTCCGGCGAGTCGGCAGGACTGGCCAGGCGCAGGCCGCTCGCGTGCACAGCGAACGGAGCGGCCGGGTCGCGCTGCAGCTGTAGGCTGCCCACCGGCGCGCCGCCGCCGTCGGGCGTGGCGAGGAGCAGCATGCACGTGGCCCACGCCGCAGAGTCGAGCGTCAGCGAACGGTGCGGCAGGCTGGGCGAGGAGAGCGGGGCGGCGTCGATGCGCACCCTCATTGGCGGGAGCCAGCCCAAAGACTAAAGAAGAAACTCAGCGGACAGAAGAGAAAAAAGAAAACAATGGAACGACGGCTAGCACCACACTCATATCGTTAAAATCCCTGTGTGTAATTGCGGCACGCAGGCGCTAAAGAGGGCAACCTGCCTTGCCCCAGGACGCAGGAGCCAGGTAAAGACGTCGCCGTCGGCGCGGTGAGGGCGCGAGGCTGTGGTGCTGTCTCCAGTCGACCAGCAGTCGACGCGGCGATGACGCGCTGGTCAGCAAAGGCCTCGATCTTCTTAGGCAGCAGCTGGGGTTATTGGGGACAACAATTTGAACAGCTCTAGGTCGGTTTAAACGCGAGGTGCGTTGCCGTGCTGACTGCTGTGCGCCGGAAATGAGCGGAAAACCCCGATTGGCGATATTGTCGTGACTGCTGACTCGGGGTTGTGACTGTTTGTGCGCCCGCCGAAGAGTCGGCCGAACAGGGGATTTCACAACAAAAAACTCCCTCGTAATGCGAGTGATCGCCCTTTGCCCAGATTCGCTTCACTTTTTTCCGTCCCTCTCCCCCTCCCTCTCACTCCCGCGACCACACCTCGATCTTCTTGGGCAGCAGCTGGATCGACAGGTCCTCTCCGTGGCCCAGGCAGGCGTCCTCGCCCCTGCCCCAAGCGAGGACAGCGCCGTCGGCGTCGAGGGCGAGGCTGTGGTTCCCCCCTGCCGACACAGCCTTGACGCGCTGGCCAGCTAAGGCCTCGATCTTCTTCGGCAGCAGCTGGTCCTGCTCGTCGCCGTGGCCCAGCTGGCCATAGGCTCCACGGCCACAGCTCCAGACGGCGCCGTCGGCGGTGATGGCGGAGCTGTGGCGCTCTCCAGCCGACACAGCCACGATGCGCTGTCCAGCGAAGGCCTCGACCTTCTTTGGCAGCAGCTGGTCCTGCTCGTCACCGTGGCCCAGCTGGCCAGCGTATCCAAAGCCCCAGCTCCAGACGGCGCCGTCGGCGGTGAGGGCGAGGCTGTGGCTCCATCCAGCCGAGACAGCGACGGCGCGCTGGCCCGCAAAGAACTCGATCTTCTTCGGCAGCAGCTGGTTCTGCTCGTCGCCGTGGCCCAGCCTGCCTCGCCAACCATCGCCCCAGCTCCAGACGGCGCCGTCCGCGGTGATGGCGAGGATGCGAGCGGCTCCAGCCGACACGGTGACGACGCGCTGGCCAGCAAAGGCGTCGATCTTCTTTGGCTGCCACTGGTGCTGCTCGTCGCCGAGTCCCGGCTCGCCGCAGCCCCAGGACCAAACGGCGCCGTCCGCGGTGAGAGCGAGGCTGAAGTATCGTGACGCCGCCACACCAATCGCGCGCTCGTCTCCCGAGGAGCGACCGGAGACGGGTCGGCGTCTTGAGCTGCAGCACGCCCTCGCCGTGGCCGAGAAGGCCTGGAAGCTCCTCCTCTTTGTCCTCCTCGCCCTCCTCGCCCTCCTCACCCTCCGCTGCCGTGCCGCACGACGAGAGCCGCCCCTCGCCGTCGATGAAGATGCTGTGCCGTTCGCCTGCGGCCGCCCTCGCCGGCGGGTTGGACTCGCGCAGCAAGGCATAGACGCACAGCCACCGCACGGCGCACCTCTCGCATTCTGGCTGCGCCGGCGGCTCGTAGCCGGCCTCTCGCAGGCGCAAGCGGATGCCCTCCTCCGCAAGCGAGGCGTGGAAGAGCAGCGAGACGGCCGCGACGCGAGCGATGTCGGCGGGGTCGCAGTGAGAGAAGGCGCGCACGAGGAGGTCCGTAGGGAGGTCGAGGAGGAGGGTGGGCGGCGGCGTGGAGGGCGAGGCGGCGGCGGCGGCGGCGGCGGCGAGGCGCGCGGTTTCTTTCTTTTTTGCGCTTTCGGGATGTCTGTTTTCTTTCTTTCTTTTTTGCGCTTTCCCTTGGCGTTTCTGTTTTCTTTCTTTCTTTTTTGCGTGCCGTCCTCCCATCCCTCCCTTGGGTTGTCTGTTGAATTTCCTTTCTTTCTTGTGGAATTTATAAAAGAAATTCTAATTCGCAACTCGATTTGCGAACGTTGAGTGAGGAGAACGCAGCCGCGGTGCACACTGCTGGCGAGTGCTCTGCGGTGCGGCGGCGGATACTGGCGAGGTACTTCCAGCATGCTGTGGGAACAGCTGAACGCTGCTCCTCGCCAAGGCTCGCCCCAGCATCTCAGGTTCCCTCGCCCCCCCGGGCAAGGGGGTGCCCCAGCATCTCAGGTTCCCTCGCCCCCCCGGGCAAGGGGGGACCCCGTGAGGCGTCGGAGTGCCTTGCCAGGGCGGAAAGAAAATTTGAATGTGTGGGCTCATTTCACGCCCAAGCGATTTGCGGGCGGACGGCCGGTGGCTAAGCCGCCGCCGACCAGACCTCGACGAGCACGCTCCCTCGTCCGTCGCCGGCTGCCACCCGCGCCGACCGATTCATGGACGAGCTCTGCATCGAGGGCTGGCTCCACCGGTCCAAGAAGGGCGATCCCACGCAGCGGGAGCGACGTTACTTCTTCTCGAGCGGCTTTGCCGTCGAATACTGCAAGACGCCCGACCGGGCCAGCCGCACGGGCAAATTCGACCTCCGGATGGTGGAGGAGCTGGATGAGCCCGAGCCAGGTATGCTGTTTGTCCGAGTGAAAGGCAAGACACATCCGCTCCATGTCTTTCTTCCGAGCCCGATGGAGGCGCTGCAGCAGGGCGACGGAGCCGACGCCAAGGCGTGGAGGATGCTGTGGGCGAGCGCGGTGGATGAGAGTGTCGTCTCACTGGCGCTCGAGTCGGCTCGCGACACCAACCTGGCGGAGCGCTTCACGATGCTGCGCGAGGAGAAGCGGCAGACGCGTGCGCTCCTCGCCAAGTCCGCTTCCGCCCTCCCTCGCGACTCCAAGGAAGCTGAGGAGGCGACGGCTCCGAGATAGTCCACTTCACACGCGCAGCCACCTCACCAACGCCCACTTGCGAGGCCCTTTGCATGGGACACCGTGAGAGGGAGGGGCCGGTCCTTCATTCTCTCGCCCGCCGTCAGCTAGACCCCAAACCCTCTCCTTCCCTTCCTCGCCTGCAAAGGCGGCGAGGAGGAAGACCCCAAACCCTCTCCCTCCCTTCCCCGCCTGCAAAGGACGGCGAGGAGGCGTCGGTGCTGTGCATCCCACTCGAGGTGCTGGACGCGAACGCGGACATCGTGGCGCCTGAGACCCCGTCTAGATCCGAGGCCAAGACCGCCGCCGCTGGCGCAGACAGCGAGTGGTCCTTTGCAGAAGTTCGGTACGGAGGGCAGTACAGGCAAACGCTCGCGAGAACACTTGCCTCCCACTCCGCCACTCCCCCCCATCCGCCGCCCCTTCCCCGGCCCTCGCCTCGCAGCTTCGTCACCATCGGCGCCAAGGAGTTGGTGCAGGCTGGAATCGCAGACGGGATCAAGCAGTTCAAGGCGCAGCCCACACATCCCGCCACCCACCCACCCCCCGATCCCCCGCCCGTCCTCGTCCCCCTTTCGACGGCCTGGATCGCCGCGAGACCGCAGGCAAGCCCCGACAAGTTCGAAGCGATGTGGTTCCAGGCGAGACAAGCCGGGACTGGCCGAGATTGGCCGAGGTTGCCCCACTCAAGACCCGCAGACTCCGACACGCCTCCCCCACCCGACGCAAGGCCGACATGGTGGACTGGCCCGTCGAACAGCAGAGGTACACGCTGCTGCTGCGCGAGGGCACCTCGGGCTTTGAGCCGGACGACAGCACGCCTCAGGGAGGCCTCGCCGGCTAGATGCCACGTGCCCACAGCGCAGCACCAACCCTCTCCCCGCTCTCCCCGCTGCGAGCACAGCACCCCAAGGCGAATCCCACGGCGAGCTGCGCCCCCCCCCCCCCCCCCTCTTCGCCATCGTCTGCTTCGTGTCGCGTATGCCACACGAGTTGCCCACCTTCTCTTTATTGGGAATGGTAGGTGCCGATAGCTCCCATGCCAGATTCCCACCCACTGCGTCGGTCCGGGGCTG